AAACGCGGAAACTTTTGATTGTATTGTATCGCTGAAAAGTAAGAGTTATTATTTAGAAGCTGCCAGGTCAACATGTAGGCCTGGTTGTGAATGCGTGAAACGTGTAGAACGCACAAATGTTGAATCAAATTGCAAAAATAAATGATCAGTAATCCACCACGGGTACAGACAACAACACATTTGAATTAAAGCGATCAAAACACGTCCGCGAAATGGTTAAGACAACATGAGATTTAAAACCAACATGAACAACCAGACGGTCGTTTTAAATACTAGTAAAAAAAAGTTTTGGCCAAGACATACCCGAGAAACGGTTGTTGACATATTTTAGTGCTTAGCGTTTGGGACTAAAAAAAAAGAACAATTGCATAAGTGTTTTGTCTTTAAAACTGCTTTGAACTAAATCGAACGAAGCATGTCCAAAAAATAGATAAAGAAAAATGCATAGCCACCAGTCGGCCATTTGAATCAAATAACAAATTTATGTGCATCAGTAATCATCATATGTGACATTCAAGCCAAGTTTTAATTAATTATGTCCAGGAATGCCTGAAGAAACGGTTAATGAAAATCGCCGCCACTCAATTACCAGTAAATTGTATGGAAATAAAAAATACCGTCGGTCATTTTTATTCGAATCGCGCCCCCCCCCACTCTCTATATTTAGGGGGGCCTATGCTTGTTCCCTCATTTTTTTGACCCCCCCCCCATCTAGGGAAAAGAAGAAAATTTAACACCCCCCCTAGGAACTTTTCATTCTAATAAACCCCCCTTTTTTGTATATCTCGGGAAGTGTTTTGAAATACACCCCCTATTTTGAGAATCTCGGGAAAACAAGCAAAAAATACCCCCTTTTCTACGATTTTCTCGGGAAAATGTTCCCGAGACAGATCGTCAAAAAGTATCCCCTTTCCCGAGAAAATGGGAACGCGCATGCGGCCCCCTATGGATCCTGAGTGGGGGGGGGGGGGTCGCGACACAAAAAACGTGCATATGTAACCCATTATGAGTGACGAAATACAATGTTTGAATGAAATTGGCCAAGCCATGCCAGAAAAAAACAGTTGTCATGTCAACATTTGTTCGGGATAAAACTGATCGCCAATCGGTCAAAGGTCAAAGAAACAAAAAACAAATTGATAAGCATATGTACTCAATTATGACTTCAATTCGAACAAAATCAGTACGGAACTAAAAATATAACAACTGCACGAGTTCACAAATATATACAACCACAAATTATACAAACGTGAATCGGGACCCCCCCCCCAAACAAACCCACCAATTTGTATAACCAAAAAGTATGCCACCATTCATTCATTCATTTATTTATTTATTTATTCATTCATTCATTCATTCATTCATTCATTCATTCATTCACTCAGCCACAGTACATTTTAGGTCATAATATGGGAGGAGACAGTCTAAAGTGCATTCACGTTTCAAATGTTAAGCATTGGTTAGTATTGGAATATAATCCAGTAAAAAATAACTGTGTGGTAACAACCAAAACAACGTGATAACTGTACAATTACAACTTAAAGGGCCCCTTTGATTGAAACGTAATCACTAACGTTGTGTAACTGTTTAACTATGTCACTGATTGCATACTTGTGAAACCTACCCAAGACGGATACTGATAATTTGTAGATTTCTCGTCACACTGGCGCCTGGTTGCATTATCACCCCTCGTGTTCAAGGATTTTCCCAGACAATAAACACCGTTTACATGATAGCACGTAGCATTCAGGGGCCGTGTTATGAATATCTAAGCGCGATGATATTCGCAGTAATACCACGGTCTGCTGAGTACCACGACGCTTTGTATGATTGGACACGCTGTATTCCCATGTCATGGCCTTAGTCTGCTATAATACAACATGTACAGTAGATGGCATCCGTCATTATCACCCATCCTGTCACAGAATTCATGAGAACGCGTAGAAATTTCATAATCTATTCTGGCCTATTCAAGATTTCTGTTTGACTGCCACGTCGTACTTACCAGACGACTAATGACGTATCGTGTATTTTCAAGTGGAGAAGACCGTTGCTCTTGGTGAGGATAAAGAACAGATTGACATATGCATATCAGGACGACACTGAACTCAAAAAGTACAATTGCCTATATGTATCACTTACTCATATCAGTGTATATTCCAAATTAAATTGAAAATATCGTATTTGTGACAAAAACTCGCACATGGTTCAATTGCAGTATTACAGAGGGATGCGTTTTAGTGATGACGAATGCGGCAAAAATGTGTTTACATTCAGCACCTGAAAAAGAGAGCCGAATAGCAAATACAATGTCGCCCACATGCATACATGCACGTGTATTTGGTCATTTCATCGCGCAATAATAAATAACAGGGACATCTGCAACGCCCTCAATGACCTCTCATGCTTAACCTTGCCACATGGCAACCAGACATCGCTCACATGGCAACCAGACATTGCACACATGTCATAGATTCAAAATTCTGCCAGTACAGTACCCGATTAACGGTGAAACCCGTGGTTTGCGTGGGTTTTGGGCGCAGCGAACACAAAACACGAAGCAGCTCTACTAACCAACACCCGAGGGATTCGATAGTGCTGCAGAATGTGATAAGAGAGTTGTTCGTTAAGTCAGTATACTCTCAGCGCAACAAAAACATTCCCCTCATCTTTATAAATATTCATTAATTTCACAATTCGAATTGAATCGAGGGCTTTATATTGGCCGAATGAATAACATTAGAACGTTTTCAAATGACGTCGTTGCGCACTGTGCTAGTTGATTGGCTGGTTGGATTTAACTGCAATGAAATTTATAAAGATGAATGGAATGCCTTTCTCGCGCTGAGACTACCGAGTACGCGCAAATGAACCATTTAGTAGTTTTTCAACTTGAAATATATTTTTAATTAAAATGACAAAAGATAACTACTTATAATGACGTCAACAAAAATCATACAAAGAACAACAAATCAATCATGTCAGCAGCGATAGTAGTTCAGACCAAAATTCACATGTTTGCCAACAATATCACAACGTCATACAATCACAAAACCAAGTTCCACAAAAGACACTGCAAAAAAAGATGAAAATAATCTGAATCTAAGTTCTCAAAAGGACATTTTTTGTTTTAATTTCTGAAAAGTTGACGCAAGGAGACGAACATCGACGGCTCATCCATCATACTATACCCGAACATCGGTAGCTGACAGCGGAACTAGAACATAGTTAAAACGCCTTGAAACAGTGAAGCTTAATATCGAAACGACTAGACATGAAAAATGAACGGTAATGAAATACAGGAATAGTTGAGTGACGACAAGTGTATTAAGTAATAACCGAAAGGTATTATTTACCGGAACTATAAATATAAATGAAGACGAAATATCGATCAGGGAGATTTATTTATAATTTCCAAAGTAAATCAAATTGGATAAAGTAATGCATTTACGTGAGTCTCGCCCAGTATAGCAATCAATCTGATTACTCAGCTGGTGGCCAACCGTGGATTTAGAATTCCCATTAATAGCATCACGTCGAAGACACCACTCATGCTCAGCATTGCGGGTTTTTTTTTCTGTTCTTCTCGGTATGTTGAGGTGGGAGAAGTCAGAGGTCAGAGCGCAAGGCTGGCAGCGCGTAAACATGGCATATATTAACGGTCATCGGAAATATCGGAGACCATACGTAACACCAGACTTCTTATTTCATCGAGATATTAATCATTGCGTAATATATAAAAACAAATTTGACGTATTTCCCGCCAAATTATTGCATTAATTTAACGACATTTCTTGTAAATTTGAATGTTAAATTAAGACGAGACACTGCAACCATACAGCAAATTAACTTTGATAACTAGTTTCTGAGTTATGATTATTGTTATAATTATTGCCATCGTTAAAAATATCATTCAATGCGATTATTTTGCGTATTGGGACAACCTTTGATGACCAAAGAGTTAAATACTACACTAACATCAAAAGGTCGTTATTAATACTTAGAGCACAATGTGTACATTAGATCCACGGTTAGTCACTTATTTATAAGTAGTAGGCTGTGGTGACAACATTCACTGTATAGTACTAGACAATGATATGTCTTAATTCTTCTCTGTTTACACAACATTCGCAGTAATCCCGTAGACGGGAGGTGACAGTGCTGCACGGAAACAAATTATTCGCAGCCAACACGTGAGGAATGTTCACGTAAAACAAATATTCAACCGAATAATACGGTAACATGATGGACAAAATACGGGACGACAGTCTGCTTCACCGGTGGCAAGACAAAAATATAATACAATACAACCATGGCATCCCCAGTGATAACAATATCTTAAATAGTTCTCTTCTTCGAGCCTGATAACCGCCAAATTATATGTATTTAATAGTATTCACCTTTTTTTTAAATTAGGTAATGCCAGTTCGTGCATGTCACTGCCACCATGTAGTTGCGAGAATAATTAGGTCAGAGCAACTCTTGCCCCGAGTATAACAGATACTGGAAACATTTCTGTCAACATTCGGGTCACCGCGAGTTAAAGTAAGACGTCATTACGAACAACACACCGCTGTAAGTCGTGTACGATTGCCGAGTTGCTTTCCTAATGCTTTCCATTAAACACAAGACGAGCACGATCGTTCGATAACCTCGTATTTCGAACCACGTCGCTGAACTCAATTAAGCGTTTAAAATCAGTCCCTTGTGTGCCCAACAACACGCCTGTGGGCGATTGGAATCACTGCTTTCGTCTGGCCGATATCTCTTTTGAGAAAAGGCATCAGAACTATACCCTGTTTCGTACGAGGATGGTGTACGCCACCACCAAGAATGACGTAATAGTCTAGAACAAAGATTCCTATTTCAGCTGCTACTGAAACAGGTCCTAATATCCCTTAAAATATCTCCGGAAAATATTACTCTAACATAACATTTGTTATTTGTGTTGGACGATTACGTACATTTGAAATAATAAAACGTGCTACAATTGGAGACGGTTCTGAATATAGCGTATTTTACTGATAAAGCACAACACTTTGAATTATATCTGTATGCACAACTTATGGAAAATATTCTTGTAAATAGTGTTTATAAAGTACAAGGAATGCAAAACGTGACTAGCGATTCCACGCGTGTCTATATAAAATTCTTCTACTCGCGAGGCTTCAACAAGCGACACTTATCATTATGTTAAAATAAGCTTCTTCCAACCTTTTACTTGACAACTCATGGTACAATTGATTATACTCGCCGCCAGCCGAAATGCAAAAAGCGAAAAATGACAATCTGTTAAATTCGTTGTAAAGGTCAAAAGTTCAAAGCCAATTTACTAGTACGATATAAACATTAATATATAATCCACATCATAGTATACTGCTTTCTTCCATCCTACTGACGCAAGCACATATGTAATCAGTCATAACATAACATTTGTGACAGTGTTTGCACTCTTGAAGACTACAACATAAACATTGCACTGGATTTAATCAAACTCAGGGGAAACGAATTGGTCTATGAAACTTGAATTTATTGGCTAGTCCTGTTTAGAAGTAGTGCATAATGCATGGACTATTATTAGTACTCTCTTACTGTTATAAGCTTTTAATGTTACCTATTTTCACATAGGACGGCGTAAGTTTTGTCACAGATAAGTTTCTCAATAGATCGAAATATTTCTGAAGTGTTACCTAATTGTCACTGTTTCAAGTTAGAATTTCCTTTGAACCACAGCACCATTTCCATTGCAAATACATGCGAGGTTGTTAGAAGGCCATCCACACGTAAAATAGCGACGTACTCTTTAACTACATTGATATTAAGAAGGAGATGTAATCATCGAAAATAGATACACTTTGCATGCATACTCTCATACAAGCCAGCGAAGTTCGATTTGAGGGGAAATAATAGGAAAATAGCCTAACCCAAGTTACGCTACGTCAGCTGTTACTAAGTTGAATCAGTTTTTCCCTGCACACTGGCACACACATTCAGCGGCTATTGGGTACGGAACTTTGATCCATTTGCACTTCATCTTATTCGATTTGGATTTTTTTTTCGCTTCCCTGGTAATACGACCACTTGGTTGAATAGGAGGATCTTGAGAACGCTTGCTCTTCTTTCCACGGCAGTACCAGCGAAGGAGTTGGATATAGGTGGCTGGTCCCGGTTCGCATGACATTCCGTGTGGCCAGGAACAGTCTTGTTGTACACACTCACCATGTTTGATCCAGCGGGGCCAGAAGAGCAATCCGACGTCCAACCACTCGTGTCTGACAGAACACGATGCTTGTTGAACGAGCCAGTGTTGCAAGCGTTCTGTCGTTTGTCCATCCATGGTAACGGTTTCCCCATTCTCGTTGGTATACGTAAAGTCTAAACCAGTAGCCTGGTTTTGTAAAGTGTTTTGCACAGATGTTGTCATTGGGGCGACCTTTTCGTCTGGTTCTTCAACAGACATATAATTTGGGTCGAAGTCTTTACCTAGTTTCTTTTTAAGCTTTTTGGCACGGAGGTCCCTTGCTTTTGGTTGTAGGCTCTCCTCTATCGTATCACCAGGTATTGCCTGTGCAGTGCCATTACTAACCTTCAAATATGGTGGAGATCCGTACAATTGTCTGAGACTAGAGAGAGTACCGTCGTCGTCGGCGGCGGCGTTCGCCCCCGTGCTTAAACAAGAGATTATCACGATAACCTCTAACAGTAAACTTGAAATACAGATTCTTCTAGGAGACATGATGTTGTAACGAATGCCGACACTGTACTCACTGTGGCTGTCGGCACCAGTTAATGATTAGCCAGCGTGGTTGGTGCGGAGCAAACAAAGTCGTTTAGCAGATGATGTCCGAAGCACCGGCAGATGAGTAACAGCTAGTAACAGTACACCATCTAACAACGCATAATGGCACCGTGCACGCGTGATGCTCACTTCGTCTTCGAATACCACTTCCCACTTTTCACATTGATATATTCTATCTGCAGTGGCACGATTCACATATATGCAAAGCAGTGTTCAATGTTCGGGAGACAGTCTAGCATAACTTAAATCTGCTATAGAGATGAATTCCCCGATAACCTCAAGCGCAGACTCTTTAGTCAACCGAACAAACAGGAATCAAGAACTATGCACACCCAGTATTGACTTGTCGATTGGTGAATTCCTAGACGTTTTGGTGGGGGAGGGGAACTTCAAGAATCTCACACGCCCACGGTGTTCATTTACCACTCACGTTTCCAGCAGACAACTCTACGTGGAACGCTGAAGCGAAGTTGAGGCACGTACGTTGCACGGCGCCTTACGCAAATGAGCATGCTTGACTATATCAACCAAATTGCGTTTAACCACACCGCATTCGATATACCAGGAAAGGGAGAGTTCGTACGAAAGGTCGTCCTAGTGATCAACTGCCCCTGGCATCACTATAATGGCGAGACGTAGCACTGTTGTGAATAAATAAAACGGTATAAAACAAACAGCCTAAACCAGACATGAAACTCGTAGACAGCTACAAGCAAGTCGAATGAAGAGTGTTCCTAATGTCACACTGCTAGTCATCATGTGATTAATACCGGGATATATCTTATGTTGCTTTTAACAAATCTCAGCTATCCATTATAAATGCCATACTTCATGATATAATATTTAAAAATGTCACCAGGGCCTCGAAAATTAATTACACCTTGTCGCCAATTTTGTGAAGGCATATACAATAAATAAAAAAAATAATGAATGAACATTCCTTCAAGCGATGAGTAGCCATACGCATAAAATATTGTGTTTGTATAGAAACAGACTACATACAACGCATTGAGACATACCACGTTTAATTTATGTAATAAGTGCGATAGTGCGATGGCCTAGTATTTCGATCTGGGAAACTATAAAATAAATGGAACTTCAAGCTGATTCTAACTGAGTTAACCACAGGTTTGTAAAGATTAAATGAGAATATATATGTAAAATAAAATAAAATGTAATGTAATGTATCGTGAAACGTGAAATAAATGTATAGTTTTCCAGTATGATTCATACAAATGCTAAGACTCCTAGAATACGGTTACATGTCAGATTGATGGACCATGTCAATACCACACAGGTAATGTCTTGACATTAACCATATACTCTACATTCATCTCATGTTAACCCCACTGTAGCAAACCATTACAAATATACCGACAGTTTCGATAGTAGCCGATTTTAAGTTGTGTTTTGTTTTGAAGTGTTCTGTTTTTCAGAATAACTCATTATTTTTTTATTTTAAAGTACTAAACTCTTTCAGTACAAATTAAGAAACATTGGATAATCATCTAAATTCCCACCGCCTCTAACTCTTGAGAGCAAAAACAAAATGGCGTTATTTCGTGGGAACTGAAGATCATCGAACTGTGATTTTGGAGTCAACCACGTCATTACTATAATTGTGCATATTTAGTAATTTAGTTGAAATGACGCAATTCAAAGGTTCAATATTAGACCATGTTGTTGTAGGGCATAACTTATGTTTCACCCGTGTTGTCCAACTAGACCGGGACACCTGTAATTCGACAGTCACGATATACTGTACACACTCGCCGTGTGATAGATAGAACTCATGACGTATTACTCGCTGGATTGCTGTATCGTGTAGTGTAACTGGTTAATCATCCAAATTTCCACCGTCTCTAACCCTTGATTGAATCAAACAAAATGGCGTTATTTCGCGGGAACTAAAGATCATCGAACTGCGATTTTGGAGTCAACCACGTCATAATTATGTTGACATTTAACGAATAAATGCAGTTGTGCATATTTGATAATATAGTTGAACTGACGTAATTCAAAGTTTCAATATTATATCATGTTGTTGTAGGGCATAACTTATGTTTCACCCGTGTTGTTCAACTAGACCGGGACACCTGTAATTCGACAGTCAGAATACACTATACACACTCGGCGTGTGATAGACAGAAATCGTGACGTATCACTCGCTGGATTGCGGTATCGTGTAGTGTAACACACACCCTTTGACGGCTGGATAATTGAACCAACCAGTCGTGCTGTGAGACAGACGTGAATGGAACGATATCGATTTACCTCACGGATAATTCCTCGCCATGATAAAAAGGTGTGTGTGCCAGCCGACATTGAAGTGTGGGTGTGATTAAACACGTTTACCTTTATCGCTAGCTCAGCAGGCACTTTAAAACGTCGATTATAAGGTCATTATTTGAATGCTTATGGGTAGAATAAATAAACATTAAATATTCTATCCCAGTTTTTTTTTCAACAAGCAATATGTCAGAGGGTAAACCTCTCACGCCCACACATAGGTAATCATGATATACCCTTAAGCGTGACTATGACAACTGACACGGACACAGCATTTAGCGAACCTTACAGATATTGCTATTAAAATGTTATAAAACGGGTAAATAATTTAAAGGTTGACATTATTCGGAAACTGTGACATTTCTACTGCACCAGAGTTTTAATAGGAAGCTACCGAGAATATTCGAGAATGCTGGGCGTCGCATAATCATACGACCGCTTGACAAATTTGTTTTTGAGCAAATCATTGACTTTTCAGCAAAAATGTATAACAAAATCGTTGTTATATTAGGTCCAGAACAAAGAAATTTCTAGTGAATTTATTTCCAAAATTGATGTATCAATAAAATTGTTCTTTTATTTTTTTATATTTTTGCTTTTAAAATCCTGTCACGCACATAGTTGTAACTTACACAGACGATGACCAGAATCATATCACAACGACTTTGACATTTACAATCCATCAATCATTCATTCATTTTTGTTTTAACATAACTGTGGTGCTATGTTAGTAAATCAAAAAAAAAACATAACTAAGAGTTTCTACATAGATGTATTATTATCTGTAAACATTTTTGTTTTGTAATGACACCCCTAATAAAATTTGTCAAGTAGTGTCTATTTGTTTTCTTGTAATGTCAAAGTCTTCAGAATCCCAAAATCACTAGTAGCAATAAACCTATCAAACTAGTGTTGTTTCTCATTCCATAATTGTAATAAACAATTCTATCTTCCTTGCATACCAAGAACAATATTTTATATTTATATTTTAAGGTTTTATATCTGTCTGTGTGAAATGTGTGAACTTACAAATTCTTTAAATTAGGCCTAACCTAGTTTGTTTCAAAATATTACCTCAATATTATTTTTCACATTAGCCCATCTGAAACAACCCTAATGTGTACCAATCATTTATCATCGACCATCATTGGCCACACGCATACACTTTTGTTTCTCACAAAATATCTTATAATTTCTGATCTCGTTATATTAATTTCAAGTATGTCTTTGCTACGTACATAATGTTGAAAGTTCCCCAAAATAGAACTGCATGTATATTTCGTATTGATAACCCAAACAAAGCTATATCCCCCTCAACCCCCACCCCATCCTAGTAAACACCCGCAGCAACATCCAAACTCATTATAACAATGCAGTGATATAGTCCAGACTAAATAGGACGAAATCGGACCACTATACGAACACCTGTGGAGGCAATCATGCTATGATGTTTAAGCACAACACCTGCAAATCATACAGTCTGCGTTTCTACGGGATCTCTAATTTCATCTCCCACTGTTTTTGTTTAGTCTATAATCAGCTCCATAGATGTGGCGAAAGATAACGATTCTCCATGTATAGTCTGGCGTTCGGCTGAAGTGCCATCGCAATTATGTAAGTAGTTTATCGTGATGTATGTAGATTCCATATAGCAATACTGTTAATGCAAATTATTTAGGTACGATCCACGGTGCCGATTATGCAAATTAAAATAATATGAGATAATGCAAATTACCCCCCCCCCGTTTACAGTTTTACTTCTTTGGTTATTCGGCCACGTGACATTTACAAAATGCTGACCATAAACGTGGGTGAAATGATACCGACTACTCGTGCAACTAACTAAACTCACATCAGATATGTGAGTGACAGGACGACCAACTCAAACGCGAAACTACATGATTGGTAGCTGTGCACTGTACCATCCATACAATATATTTAGAAAAGTCACATGTATCTAATTTTTCTGAAAATTATATTGTTCAAAAGGGAAGTCAGTGTCGTCATTTAGTGAACTTTTGACATAGATTGCAAATGCGTATTCAGTTGCAATCTATGTCAAAAGTAAATAAAATAAACATTTTCAGACTGAATCTTTCCTACCTGTTGGTGTCATATTCCACAAATATTGCACCAACGATGGGTGCTCGCAACATTGATAAATTAGCATTACAAGTTAAATTGTCAGGTAATTAAAAAGTACATCGACAAACCATGTTTTCTAAAGATGAAATATAAGATTGTGTTTGTATTTCCAAGTTTCATAAAAATGCCTCAAAACAGTATTAGCAAATATAAATGCCCACGCTTTTAAAATTGAGAAAGCGAAAACAAAATTTATACCAGCTGTCTACATAATTCAACGAGTACTAAGGGCATGCACTCAATAAACTGTCGGTAATTGTGCCTATTTGTAACTGATTAACGTATTATAATTAATGGAAGCGGATCTCATAATATACGTGGGTGGACACACAGTGAAGGTAAGTGCTTCCATTTCCTATTCAGATATATCAATGCGTAATTTCCGCTAAACAATTTAAAAATGTATCTACAGAAATATTGTTTGATGGAAGTACAGAATTAGCTTGTTCCTACTTCCTTCCCACACGCAGAAATGTTATAAGAATGTAGATTTTTCTGTTCCTTTTATTTTTATGATGGCATTTTCATAACTACAATCAGAATACCCGTGTAATTACAACGACTCGATGTCTGATGTGTCCAACCATCAAATAACTAATATTTGTTTTCTTGTGTACAATTTGTCAATAGTAAACTATTTCG